GTTCATCAATCACTTTTTCACATTCAATGTTGCAATTCTCACCGTCTACCTCTCTAAAGACCTGCTTAATGAGTAGGAGAAAACCAAAGTCGTTTTTGTTCTCAACATATGGTGAGTCATCTTTAACACACTAATCTGGGGTACCAGGGGAGTTGGAGGCATGGTAAATTCTCTCCTCAACCCTTCATCATCTTCCCTCTGTAATCTTTTTGTCAATATATTTTGAGAATTGAGGAATCGTTTGCCCTCTAGGCCAACATAGCAGTTAATCCATAGAGTCGGTTAGGAACAGACTTGTCTGAAAGTGTTAAACTATTGAGTTTTGCATCTGTTCTTCGCTTATCGTTTGGGGCAAATCGGCTTTGAATACCCTCACTGTTCTGAAAGGAAGAAGTATACCCTCCCTTTCAAAAAAACGAAAAGAGCGCGAAGTACAGACCATACATCACAAGTGACGACGGCCTCTGAGTAAATATGCCTAATTTAGTTTAAAGGCTCACCTCACGATGAGTTTGGAAGAGTGAACCCCTTTGGCAAGTAGAATAGAGCTGTCTGCCAAAATCACAGATATTCCTCCCCCAGCTCTAAAGTGCGCGACAGTGCGCGCTATAGTCCTCCGAAAACCGCTTCAATCGCCTCCATTTTTCTTCATGCTAAAGATGTGCGTGTCTGTGCTCTCTCATCCATTGTATTACTTTGGTTACTCTGCTCCGCGCTCAGTCTCACTGCCTTATCGAACTTCAAAAATGAATAAGCCCTTATTTCAAAGTTTACTACGGACTTTTGCCACAATCGATCACTTCGCAGCACGGCTTTCAATTTTGTGCGCAAGAAGCTTGCCAGTTTGATCGTGGGTAGTGCCTTCGAAGGCAGTAATCGCGATAAGCTGTACCGTTGGAATATGAAAATAGAGTTGCCAAGTGTGCGTCTGCTGAAAAAAAAGAGAAACAGAATTCCGGGAACGGACCTTTTTTTCACCCGTTAATCCAGCAGTGGACGAATTTGCCGCTAAGACGAAGGTCGTTCGGGTGAAATTAAAGGCGGAATTTACGATGAAAAGAGCAGCTCGTTAGAAATCAAGGTGCAGGTAGTAGTGGTGCATGAGACCTCTCCTTTGCTCGCTGATTTGGTGCGATTCTCATCGGTGCTGCTCTTTTCAACATTAATACTCGCCAGAGTCGCACGGCAGAGACTATCTACAGGGCGGGAAGTAGAGGCGCGGGTATTGCCCTGCTTGGCCGACGGGGTATCTTCTTTGTCGCGATGCGTGCATCGTACAGCACTCTAAGTGGGCCACCTGCCTTCCGACTAGGTGTTTCTTACTCTTCGACATTCTTCTGTGGCCGGTGCAAGTGATTTGAAAAAGAGAAGAGATGCGGTAGCAGTTTCATTCCAAAATCATTGCCGCTATCGTCTCTTTCACCTGCAGGCGTTGGGCGTATCTGAAGACCGAAGGCCTTTGAGGCACCTTTGTCGCCTTATCGTGCCACTAAACCACTAGGGGAGGGTTGGCAGCTCGCCAGGAGAAGAAAGGGCAATCCCCGGGTACACAGTAAGCCACTGGGCGGTATGGGACTCTGGGCACCAGCTTAGTAGGTCCGCCAACTCTCCTAAGGAATCCAAGGCCGACCTCCGTGGGGATGACGTGGGGTTGATAGGGGATTAGTTCAGATCGGGGAAAAGGGGGGAATTACATGAAGAGCCATGTCATTCAAGATAACACTATGCATAAAGGGTACGAAAACAAGTATCAGTATTCTGGTTCTAAAAATGGACAGGGGAGCACAGTTGGTTGGCAGCGGAGGTCGCGAATAACATTCAAACGGTTACGACGCTAGTGGAGCTACCAGGAAGGTCTTTCAGGGCGTGCCAAGCTTTTTGAAAACGGTCTTTTGCATGATATAGGGGCACATGCGGGAACCACAGAACCATGGTTCATTTTTCCTGAACGGCCCTCTGAATACCAGAAAAGGGGTCCCTAGTTCGATTCCTCGTGGTGACAAATTTTTGCATTTCGAGTTGACGTTTCAAAATTCGCGCAAAATGGAGTTAGCATGAATAATTAGTACCATATTCATGTTTAACACATTGACGACCGCGCGCGTTTTGGCTTTTTTGGCCGTGTGGGACCGGGCCGATTTTGCGAGTGCGACCGCCGCACCTCGGATCCGTGAATTTTTATTGATAACTTTTTAAAGCACCAGTGGTACAAAAACATCTCAGTAACAGTCAATGCGTAGAAGGTAATAGAGTATATAGTGACGAAGTTCCGATTAAAGAACATGTAATGGTAATGAAAAAGGAAACTTTAGTCATTTTATCTGTAGTGGATGCCAAAAGCTCTTTTGATGTGGTTATACCAAGTGAAACATGTATTTTTCTGTCTCTTTAGATTTGCATTTACTTTCACTACCCTTTTTTATTGACGTGTTCATGAGAATAGCATGAAAACTATTAATGAACCAAGCCGCCGGTTTCGGTGAGCTTGGAAAACTTCTTCTAAACTGGAGCATATTTGAACAAACAATGACCTATGTCGTTCACAATAATGTTATGTTCTAATCCATAGAAGAGAGACAAACAATTCGGGAAAAAGCTGCGCATGCCCTAGAAAAAGGGATGATAAGGGTGAGACGCGGTAACGCGTCTCAATGTCCAACGAGGTGCGCAAAGTGAGACGCGTTACCGCGTCTCAATGTCGTCAATGTGTTAAAACTTCAGAGCCCTGACAAACAGGACCTATGGGATCAAAAAAACTGGCCGTGAAAAGCTGTGACACCACGGCTGGGCATGCAGTCGTATGGAGACAGTCTTCGTATTTGTCTCGACTTTCTGAAGAACGTCGTTTCTAGAACTTTGAAAATTCGTCGAAGATTCTCTTCTGTTGGAAGCCCCCGACTTGGGTTACCAGCGCTGTAGCGCTCGGCTAGCTGGGATCTTTCTCAGGAATTTCTCACAAAGAAAAGATTTCCAAAAGTGCAGTCAGTATTTCATTGGATTATGAGCTCTAGGGTTTTCTCTGTATTTCTTGTAAGATTCATGAGAGCGGAAGTGAGCGTTATTTGCTCCTATGATCGGTCATGTAGAGCTCTCCAGGCTATTGGATCAAACATGATTTCCCATGTCTACAATTTTCATATCATTTCGCTTGCACTCAATTTTTCGAACAATGTGTGTTTCCAGTAATTACGATTTGTGTATTTCTTTTTTTGGTTGGCTCACATTTCGCGTCAAGCACATTTCGTGAGTCGTTTCTAGTCGTCGCCGATTGCTTTGTTGTAGGAGAACATGACTGAAGAGGAACCGAATGTCTTCCTGTTCTATCCAAACCTATCGGATATGGCCGCATCATTTTGGCCATTCTTGCTTGTTATACGATGGGTGATTGTCCATTTACTGCCATGTTCTGGTAGGTCTAAATTCTCGACGGTGTTTTTTTTAATAGACTGTGTTTGGAAACGCGCGAAGAGCTCCAAAGTTTCGTGACAGTAGTGGGTGTTATGTAACAGCTGTGACGATTTACCGTACCCAATTACATGACACAACACACTATTCGTAATTAACCATTTATTTGAATATATTTACAAAGTGATGATGAGTGAGCTGGGATTGAAAGCCTAGAATCTTCACTACTGTAGATTCTAGGCTTCAACCAAGCTAGGGAAAAGGGGACTGTCCGCAATTCACCTGCCATCTTGTACGATTGACCTTGAACCATCTTCTCGCCGAGGATGTTCAAACGTACACTTCCTTCTGAACACAGAAGGGCGACCATCGCGTGAGCCACGCTTAGGCCAACGTGCATCTGTAGTCGTCTTGTACGAACTACTGCACAACTGCTTTCCACACGGGGAAAGATCCACTCTTCAACTGGTGTGAAGAGAACGAAGCTCGCATCGGGCGACGCTTCGGAGTCAGGGGGAGCCCTCTAGCACGTAGAGTTAATCACCTAGTCGTCCGCAACGACCTCGGGAAACTCCCCTCTCGTATTCCGAGAGAGACCGATCTGCTCACATCCCGTGAGCTCGGCAAAACTCCAGACTGACTGATCAGCTCGATCAGAAGGACGGATCGACAGTAGATGGGGGCGTGGCCGAAGACGCGAAGCCAAACTGACTCGTCGGAGACCCCCCCCCCAAAAAAAAATTTGTTTTTTTGTTTATATCAGTACTGTATAACAGTTTCTAATTTTCTTAGGTTTACGACCTATGAGAGAGAATCTCAAGTACCTAAGGTTACACCTAGGGATACTAGTCTGCACCTGCATGCACTTTTACAACCTGCACGCGGCCCCATCTCAATCCGAGATATTACTCACAAGTTATCTAACACTTTGACGACGAGCGATTTTTTCCTTGTCGCGCGCATGGGACGAGGCGTTTTTTGCATGCAAAGCGCCGGTAACACAGGGCAAAACTTATTTTGTAGCTCTGTAAAATCTCGAAATGCACAAAATGCCTTTGACTAGAGTACTCCAGACACGTTTAGAAACAAGGAAAAGTTGTTACTACTGAATGCTGGGTGAAATTTCAGTGACATCGCCTGGCATTTTCAAACCTCATGTTAGAATAGGTTCTGAAGGCGCAATTTCACGCATTCTTCATTTTTATTATTAATATGAGCTTTCCTTTAGATGGTACTGGTATCCTGATCACATCTGAAATCTTCTACGAATTTTTCACTCAAGAATGACGCAAAAAACTTTGCGTACCTGACGGAATGAGCTTTTGTTTGACTGTTATCTTGTTCTTCATGATCGAATAAGGATTTAAACGAGTCATTTCAAGGTCAAAAAACTTGTTTGTGAAATATTTGGCAGTTGATGGACTGGATAGGTACTTTTGTCCTGCCTATGAGTAAGACTGAGCCTACTTGACCATCATGGGAACCTAAGGCTAGAAATGGACATTCTACTGACGGTGACCTAATTAGTAAAGGTCGATATGAACAATTTTAGTGAGATTTCCAGTTTGCTGACGGTGGGAACTTTGTGGTTGTGATTCAATTGACAGCGCGTTTCTGCCACTGATAACTAATTCAGAATAAAACTCCCAGGAAATTAGAAAGATCATAATTCGCAGACAAGTGTAGTAAGTTAGGACACTGAAGTAAACGTTGAAATAGAAAAGTCGCGGGTTCCATCTAAGTTTGCTTACTTTCAAGCTGTCGGTCACCATTGACCGACATCGTCCCATGTGACAGACTGCCTGTCGGTCAGCATTGACCGACATCGTCGCCAACGTGTTAAACTTATTCTATAAAACGACTTGATGCTAGCCATAGTTTAGTGACAGTTTTTGGAAAGAATGCACAACTGATTAAAGAGCCCTTGGTTCTCAATGCGCTGTGAAGAGGGTTGAATGTGTTCGGATCTGAAATCTTCGTGGTGTCAAGGTCGGCTGTCTTGCAATTTTACTACTATTGGGTTGGTGCGCAATTATTGCGACTTTTTTCAACAAATTTTATTCGGAGAAAACGGTCAAGATATTTAACAGAAACACGTTTTAATGATTACTCCGGAGCGTGAACACAATTCTTCGAGAACGCTTCCCATTTGCTTAGCGGTACTCCGATTCCACGGGTGGAGAAGTCACGATTCTTGGAGACGATCCACGACTCTAACCTCGGCCACCAAGTCACCCAGCTCGTCGTAAATTTTGTTAGTTTGCCAGTTTTTCAACGACTTATTGAAGTGGCAGTCCGTAGAAGCTTCGGTCGGTAAATGTGACGATTGTGAAGCTTTTGGACCATCTTTTAACTTGGATTTTACTAATTGTTCCCTTCGCCGAAAAGCTCGTTGAGAATCGCAAAACGACTCTGCCACCTTTCAACCTTTCTCGAAGTGGTTAGAGCATATATGGCGAATATGAAGATGATTTTTGATAAGCATTTTTGTTAATGAAAGAGAGAAGAATATTTCTATGAACAAATAATGAACAAAACGTCAGTCTTTTCGGAAAAAGAAGGCGCGAAAAAATCCGCAATAATTATGCATCAACCCAATACCTTAACTACGTAAGGTTTATAGCCCACATGGTTTCTATGATTTTCGTCATGAATGGTTAGATATACTAAAGTCTGGTAGAGGTCTATTGGCTATTATTTCGACGAGTCCGCCTTTCAGACCCTTCATGAAATCCACTGGATCAGCTGACGTATAAGATTGAAGTGCTATCTGTTGAAATTTTTTGATACTGCGAAAGCCGTTATCTCTTGCAGTGGATCCGATAGAAGCTGCGATGAAGGCCAATTTGTCGGCATTAGCCAATGAACGTTCCTATAAATCTTGTGAGCGGTTTCTGCAAATAGATCTGTACATCACACTGTGCTGAGGTCCCTTACACTGGAACATTGCCAAACATGAATTCTGGATGGTAGAATTTGTAAAATAAATGCATTTCCACTTGTGCTTACGCAATGTGCCCAGTCAGGGACTCTCCTTATTCCAGTTATGCACTAAGCGCTGGATTGGATGCCGTAGATGGAATGGTGGCAAGGAAGTACAATCAAAGCAGTAGATTTGGTGCTATGCTCGATCAGCTCACGGATAGGTGTGGCACCATGGCTCTGTGCATGGCTTTGTGTAGATTCTATCCAACATCGATGTTCTGGATTCAGGTAACTCCTTGTGCTTTCTGTAAGCGTCTAAGGGTTTCATAATTTCAATTTAGATGAGTGCAATCATTGATATCGCTTCTCATTGGCTCCACCTTCATGCTAGCGTTTTGACCAATGCTGAAACCCATAAGAAAAGCAACAATCCTATTTTGCACCTTTATTATACAAATCGATCCTTCCTTGGATTTATGTGTGCTGGTAATGAGGCATTTTACCTTATCCTCTATGTTCGCGCTTTCTGGCCAGGACCAGCCATATTTGGAGTTTATCTTCTCTCGTATCTTGCAGCTATCGCATTCCCAATCGCGCTAGTCAAATCTGCTATAAGCTTAGTCCATCTAGTCACTGCATCTCAAACAATTGTTAAATATGACACTGATGCAATACTTGCACAAAGAAATGTAGTCTTCAAAAAAGACTAACTCCTGTAGTTACGCGTTTTTTAACGGCAAAAACTTAATTCTGCTGCAGTTTTGGCGGCACCCTTGCTATTATTATGATTTATTTACATGTTATGTTACCATGAAGTAGACTTTCGTCGCAATTTTGTATGTTGTCATTCGCATACTTGTTCAGCTAACATTCCTAGCAGCTAGTATTAAATTGCTTAGCATATTACGTTTACCTCATTGTAGCTTTACCAGATGTTGTGATAATCCAGATGTGAATTGCATAGTGATGTGGTTGTGATTGCATACTTGAACTGTTAGTCGGTGATGTAATAAATCTCATAAATACATGTTTCTTTGATAAATAGGGTCTGTGGAACTCTTCTATATATAAATCTAGTGTTTGTTTGGATCTTTCTGCTTTAAAGTAATCAAGTTTGTAAATATGTATTGCCTATGTCATTGCAGAGGAGAAACATTTCACAAAATGGCTGACGAATTAGCTCGGGTACAGCAGTATGAATATCGACAGGTGGGTCTGCTAATTACTGATAATTTAATTTAATTGGGAAAACTATAAAAATACCTCTTTTTTCTTTTCTTTCTCCCTAACTTTGTCCGACTTTAGCACTGCTAGAACCTCGTCTGCTGCACCACAAAGGCTATCACGCGGCTAAAA